TTGTGTTTAGACCAAGATCATTTATGATCCAGGGTTATACCTAGCAATGTTGTCTCCTTGACCTGTTCAATTTCAATATGGTTTAAATGTAGTTGCAATTTTGGTTCACCTTTTAACTGATGATTTGATCCTATTAATAACGATTTTGTTTTTCCCGCATTAAGTACCAACTTATTATTTATGACCCACTCTGATATCAGTAGTAGATCTTTATTCATAACATTTGTCAACTCTCTTGTAGTTGATGCTGCATAATATATTGTTGAGTCATCTGCATACATTACAATTTTAGCTTTTTCTAACACTAATGGTCATTTGTAAAAATAGAAAATAAAAGTGGTCCCAAACAACTACCCTGAGGTACTCCACAAGTGACTGTTTTCATCTTTGAGAGACTTCCATTAAAAAAAACAGTTTGACTTCGATTAGTCCGGTAACGTTCTAACCACCTCAGCGTTTCAAAATGAAAACCATGTTGTTCCAGCTTGTGTAACAACAAAGAATGGTCAATGACATCAAAAGCAGAACAAAAATCGAGTAGTACTGCACCCACTAACTTCCTATCATCTAGTTCGCCCTTCCAGTCATGTCATTTGTGTTAAAGCGGTGTATGTGGAATGGCCAGGTCTGTAAGCATGTTGATACACAGTATTAAGTTTGTTACCTTCAAAGTATTTTGTTATTTGATCGAAAAGTATTCTCTCCATTATCTTTGATAACGCTGGTAATAAACTTATTGTACGGCTATTTGTACCAGAAAATGGTCCAGCTGGATTTTTTGCAAGTGGAATAATTGTTGCTATTTTCCATGCCTGTGGGCAAATACATTTATCAATACTCAAATGTATAATATGACAGATAGGCTCTGCAACAAAATTAGCAACATATCTAAGAAATGATCCACTAAATGATCCACTCCTGGTGGTTTATCATTTACCTCGTAGACATTCAACATCTGTAAGTGTCACTTTTTCTATTTTAAATGTACACTTCTTATTTTTTATAATTAAATCCTTTATTAGAAATGTGGAGTTACTATTTATAGTTTGATTCATATTTCTCCTCAAATGTTTTACTTTATCAAGAAAATAATCATTCAAATAATTAGCAATTTGTGCTGGTTTAGTCAAAAATGTCCGTTCCACCTCAAGATCTGTTGAAGTGGATTTCGGCTTACGGCCCATCATGCCATTCACTAAACTCCACTGCTTTCTCTTGTCATCCTTTATCTCTTTAATTTTATTTCCACAATACAACTGTTTTTTCTTTGTATTTAATGCTGTAACATCATTCCTTAACCTTCTATACATTTGCCCATCTGACTCATAACTTGATGAGAGAGCTACATGTGTTGCATCATCTCTTTGTTTCATTAGATCCCTTGATTCCTCATCTAACCAGGGTGCTCTAAAGTTCCTTACAGTCTGTTTTCTAAGTGGAGCATGTTTATCAATCACCTGCATAAATAACAAATTAAAGACATCAAGAACATCGTCTGGATCCACTTTCTCAAAAACATGATTCCAACATCTCTTTTGAACATCCTGTATAAATGACGCTTCATTAAAATATTTCATTGATCTCCTCACAATTACTTTCAGTCCTGCTTTCTGCACCTTTGTCTTTCTCACGATAATTATTAAATTATGATCAGAACACCCTACTGGAATTGATATTGCCTGATATTACATGGCTAAAATTAGTAAATATATGATCAATACAAGTTGCACTTTTTGACCCATCTTTCTTGATGCATATCCTGTAGGTTTAGTCACCATTTGTACCAAGTTACATGTATTAATTATTGTCTGCAGTTTGTTTTTAAGGGCACAGTGCAACATATTCCAGTCAATATTTAAATCTCCGATAAAATAAATCTCTCTGTCAAGATCACAAACTTTATCTAACATTTCACATCATTTGTCAAAATAAATTAAGTTTGCATTTGGAGGTCTGTAACAACATCCTACCAACAAAGGTTTCAAGTGAGGTAAATTAATTTGCAACCAAAGTACTTAAATATCAGCAGACATGAAATCATATCTCACTTTAGCTGGTATTTGCTTTTGAATGTATACTGCCACCCACCTCCATATGCATTCATGTCCTTTCTAAATATACTATATCCATCAATGTCATTACATGTGTCATCTAAGTGAGTTTCAGATATTGCTAACAAATGAATACCACATGATAATATTTCCTCTATCTCAGACACTTTATTTCTTAGATTACAAATATGTATATGAACCAATTTGAACCCTTTACTTGGTAACTTCTTCAACATTAAGATGGCAATTTAAATGTTATCTCTTTTTCACTTCCTATCAAAATGAGAGCTGAACTAAAACATACATGTAACACCATTTCAACCGCACACACCATCACATACATAACCCAACATTTATCTGCACATAGATTGCTATAAATGTGCATACTCACTCGCTCAATTAGACGAGCCTCCCGGTAGCTCCCAAACATTTTTAGATAATAGTATGAA